ACTGTTATACATAAAATAGATAAACAACAAGGGTTTATTATATATCTTGTAATAACCTATAATGGAAATTAATCTGAAATATATATATAACTGAATTTGCCCTACACCTGAAACTAACAATTTTATAAATAAATTATATTTCAGTTTTTTTAACTTGTTTTAAAATCATGAATAGTTGTTGAATTTTATCAAGTGCGTTTTCTGCATCTCTTGAGATGAGTATGTGGTTTTTCTCCTTTAGTCTGTTGTTGTGATGAAATACATTGATTTTTAAATTCCTGGAATAAACTCAACTTGGTCATGATGTCTTATTCTCCTTATACATTGCTGAAATTCATTTTGCTAGTGTTTTTTTAAAAATCTATATTCATGAGTGACACTGGCTTATAATTCGATTTTCTAGAAATGACCTTGTCAGATTTTGATTAAAGTATGAGGTTGGCTTCATACAACAGGTTAGGGCTGTTCATTATTTTTGTGTTCTCTGGAAAAGTTTGTGTAAGATTGTCAATTCTTTTTTCCTTATGTGTTTGATTAAAATCTACTAGTGAAACCATCTGGAATTTTCTTTTAAGGGAGGTTTCTGAATTATGAATACAATATTAAGATAGTTTAGAGGCTATTCATGTTTCCTATTTCTTCATGTCTGTTTTGATAAATTATATTTTTCATCTAAATCTGTCTTTTTTTCAAAATTTTAAATTACAGACGTATACTTGTTTATGATAGCCTCTAACAATTTTTTTTCCTATCAGATGGATATGTAAGGATGGGTCCTTTTTCATTTCTGACATTGCTTATTTGCTTCTCTCTTTTTTCTTGATTACCCCTTCCATGTGTTTATCAATGTTATTAGGCTTTTCAAAAAATCAGCTTATGGCGTTGTTGGTCTTTATTGTTTGTTTGTGTCCTATTACACCAATTTGTGCTCTTCATTATTTCTTTTCTTCTACTTGCCTGAGTATAATTTGCTATTCTCCATCTATTCTTCAACCTACTCTAATCTGACATCCTATCATACTGATGCACTGAAAGTGATGAAGTTGATGGCTTTCTTGTTTTCCAATCCGGTGGACACTTATTTGGACTCATGTTATTCTAGCTCTCCAGAGCATCTGTGTAATTCCTGCATGAGACATTCTCTCTGGCTTTCATGCCATCACACTCTCCTATTTCCTATCTTACTGGTCTTTCCTCTTTTATTTATTTTTTATTTTATTTATTTATTTAGTTCTTGGTCTTTCCTCTTTTAAAAACATTTTTTACATTTATTTTTATTTTTGGCTGTGCTGAGACTTCGCTGCCGCGCAGGATTTTCTCTGGCTGCGGTGCAGGGCTTCTCATTGTGGTGGCTTCTCCTGCTGCGGTGCTGGGGCTCCAGGGTGCGCAGGCTTCAGCACTTGAGGCTCATGGGTTCCGTAGTTGCAGCTTCCTGCTCCAGAGCACAGGCACAGTAGTTCACGGGCTTAGCTGGTCCAAGACATGTGGAATCTCCCTGGACCAGGGATCAAACCCATGTCTCCTGCATTGTCAGGCGGATTCTTTACCACTGAGCCACCAGCGAAGCCCCTGGTCTTCCTATTTTTCCTTTTCCGATTCCCCTTCTACCTCATATCTAAATATTGAGATGACTTACACTTGGTCTCTTCTGTACCCACCCCAGTTCAAACCCAGATGCCTACACGTCCCAGATAGGAAATGTCAGTGGATGATGTAGAGTGATTGTTTTGCATTTTTGAAGGCATAGGAATATTTTTGAATTTCATAAAGAAATATGATCTCTTCCTTTTTTATTTAAACACAATGTCTATGATCTATTTTCCATTTTCCTAGTTTTGATAGGGACATGGACTGAGAAATATTTCTCTGTATTGGAGAAACAGTGGTTTACAGCTACAGTGATAAATGGGAGATGACAGTTGGCTTCAGTGTTGAGAAGACATTATGGTGAATTAGAGAATTTCTTATGTAAATGAAGAAGCTGCTGTGCAGTTCAAGCCAAGTGTTGCCAGATTGTCCATTTCTTTAAAAAGAAACTTAACATAATAGATTTTTAAAAATGTGAGCTCCAGTAATTTAAAAGTTCTCACACAGTTTTTAAAATGTGGAGACCAAAAAAATAATATTAAACATATCTGTGGGTCGGCACCTCTAACTTATGTCCTCTATATTCTTTTTTTAAGGGATCTCATCTAATTTTGTGGCTTTAAATGTCATTGATAAGCTGAAGACTTTCAAAATTAGAACTCCAGCTGTTTATATTCATCTCTCTACTTGAATCCTCCCTTGTCATCTCAGACTTAATATGTTCCTAACATAGCTCTTGATTTTTCTTCCCACACTTGTATTATCCCTAGTCTTCTCCACCTTTAAGATTAAAATCAGAGAGACATCCTCCCTCTTGCAGGTTGTCTAACAGAAGTGATATGATTGAAAGTCATACACAAACAGGCAGTTGTAGAATGTTAAGTTTCTTTAATTGCAAAATATATGGAAATTCAAAGAAACAGTTATAGAAAGCAGAAAGTAACAGAGCATTCTCCCAGATAGAGGTATGTGTTTCCAGATTCCCCCGAGTTACCCATGGTGATATGCAACTATGGATAAATCCTGTACAAAATGAGGATTCTGCCATGTATTAGAAGCTATTATTGCCTTTCTCCTGGAGGCAGGGGATGGAGATGTTAAATATCTTTCTGGCCCCTGACTCCTGCCTGATTTTTTCTGGAGTCTCTGGCTATAGACAGCTTTGCTTAACAGATGCAAATAATTAGTGTAAGAGAGACTGAATGAAGTGAAGGTCATTTTCCCTAGAGCATCCCTCTGCTGGCCTAGGCTTCAGGCTTGCCTGAAGTCACCTCCCTTTTCCTTACTATTAACCCTTTCCTTCCATTTAGGAAATATTACCAATGCTAGCTCTGAAATAAATTTTGCATCATCTACATCTTTACATCTCCTCTATTTCCTTCCTAGTCCAAGCCTCAAGAGTTTCTTATCTGCACCTTTGAAATGCCTCCTGACTGGCCTCCCTACTTGGATTCTTACATACCTATGATCCCTTCTCCATAGAGTTAGCAAAGTGATCTTTTAAAAATGCACACCTGATCATCTCAGTTCCCTGCCTAAAAAGCCTCCACTGCTTTGTATAAAACCAAGATATCTTAATTACTTATGTGTTCTTAATGACTCATGTTCTTTTGCCTCTCTCAGCATCTCTCATTTGTCTACTATTCTCTTTCCATCCCCTCTCTTACTACTTTCCAGCCTCATTGGGCCTTCATTCTGTTGCCCAAATGGACAAGCTCATTCCTGTCTCAAAGCCATGGTCTAATTTAACTGATACATTAACTCCACAGAGCGGGTGCTCAATGTGCGTGCATGCTAAGTTGTTTCAATTGTGTCCTCTTTGCGACCCTATGGACTGCCCACCAGGCCCTTCTGTCCCTGGGATTCTTCAGGCAAGAATACTGGAGTGGGTTGCCATGCCCTCCTTCAGAGGATTGTCCCAACCTAGGTATCAAACCTGCAGCTCCTGCATAGCAGGCAGATTGTTTACTGCTAGTTAACTTTGTTGCAGCCCATAAATATGGTTTCAGGTTTTTCTTTGCTCCTTGCTGCCATCGTGAGGTCATTTAAAGAATCACAGACTTTTCCCTAATCTCTAAACCAATTCTTTCTAAGTGAATTGCTGAAATACAGAAAAAGTGTCAGAAATTTTGTTTACAATGATTGATGGCATCATCCATTTAAAATTTTTGCTCGTGTGTATTTAATAACATCTATATCATTAGTATAGTACCACATTTATACGATTTAAAATGCATGTGTATATTTATTGTGTATGTCCCAAGTATTTTTTATGAGTTGACTAATCTAAAAAGGAGGAAAAAGACAGTGACCACTGGATTGCATAAGACTAACAAAATTAAAATATGGCTTATTTTTTTCGTATTAAATATAATGTTGGTAAACCAAGAATAGCCCTCACTGATGAAACAGTGCCTGAGGAGGGAACTCCTAAAGCTTTTGTGAGTTAAACCATGGTTTTGCTTAGCATAGAAGTAGAAGCTGAGGATGAAGTCCCTCCTAATTTTATGATTCTTGATCTAGACTGTTTCTTCTACATTCTATAGATTGGGAAATTCAGGTTCCAGTTCTGACTTTGCCCCCATTTCTTCATGTTTAGACAATTTACCTCATTCGTAGCCCTAACATTTCTTCTCCTGAAAAATGAGAAGGATTGAAATTTATTGGATGCTTAACTTGGATTCTGTGGATAACTTTAGGGGACCTTGAATTAATGTGAATTTTGTATGTAAATTTTTCTAGGAATAATTTCCTTAGCTATAAGCATTTTCTCCAATTTATCTATTACTTCAAAAAAATTAAAACTAAATCAGTTAATATGTAAAGTTAGTTTCATCTAAGATATGAGAATCCTAGCTTATGTTCGGCACACATTTTTATGAACAGCTTATGAACATAAAATGCTTAGAAGGCACTTTGTGCTACCAGGATTTATTATATCGGCAGGTACCCACTTATTGTTAGTACTTATTTCCTGCCTCTTTGTGAAAATCAGATCTTCAGCCATTGATGCCCTGTAAATGAGTCAGTTGACTAGCATGCACGTTAAAGAGTCTAGAAAATGAAGAATGTATTCTCATTTGGCACTCATTTCCTTAGCTTTTTAAAACCAATGTGTCTCACATGACTCTGCCAGCGTGTGTGTCCCAGTGCTCCTCCAGGTCAGCTGGTCACTATTTATGGCCTGCTCATATTTCAGGCTCATATTTGGGCCCTCAGTAACCTGTTCAGGCTGCTGCTTCGGAGTCTAATGCATTTGTTAGCAAAGGCTCATCCTTAGGCTTGAGCCTGGCTGGTCAGCTCTTCTCTTTGGGAAGTCAGGGAAGTACCTCTCAGACATTTTTGCCACAGTGTCATGTTGTCCTTGGTGCTGTGCTGGAGTGTGAACTGGGCCCTGTTTTCCTCTGTTGCAGGTGAATTTGGAAGGCAAAGCCAGTCCTCTCTCACTCCTTCAGATGGCCTCTCCAAGTGGCTTCTGTGTCTTGGTTCGCTTGCCCAAGCTGATCTGTGGAGGAAAAACACTACCAAAAACATTATTGGACATTTTGGCAGACGGCACAATTTTAAAAGTCGGAGTAGGATGTTCAGAAGATGCCAGCAAGCTTTTGCAGGATTATGGCCTCGTCGTTAAGGGGTGCCTGGACCTCCGATACCTAGCCGTGAGGCAGAGGTATGGTTTGTATGAACGCTTGGATTGCTGTAGCTGTGGGGTGAATATTTTAGCAAAAGCTGGAGGTTACTGAGACTCAATAATGAAGCCTCTAAAATTCTTTAGAAGCCTAGAGGCATCTGAGATGCCTATTGAATTTGTGAGGAGATATTCCACCTTCTGGGAAAACTTTAACTACCTAGAACTGGTCTTTTTAGTGAAATGTTATTAAGGTGTCTCTATAAGCTACAGGTTGTAAACTGATGAACTCCTTGGGCAAATTAGAGTTGCAGATTTTTTTTTTTTTTGGCCTGTGTGATATGTTGGGGAATTTTAGTATAAATCCAGAAGATTTAATGTAAAAATCTGTATTTCTGGCTTCTCTTAGGTGATTTGACTACGCGAGGTCAATAGTCCTGAGTGGTAACAATTGGCAGGTAGCACTGTCCTCTTTAGATGAGCATGTTTTGCTCAATTTCCCAGAGTCCCCACCTCTCCCACTGTAACCCCTGACTCATCCTGATAAACATTTGAATGTCCAAACCATGCTTTAGGCCAAAAATAATGAAACCTAATGCTTCACTGAGAGGAAGAGATTGTCCTTTCCCTTGGCATTCTATTATTAGGGAAATTCTACCTTTTTTAAAAGGTATATTTTCATGTATATTTGTGGTCCACATTTTAATAGTGTGGACTTAAACAGCCTTTATCCCTGACTTTCTCCATGACACTGATACTAAAAGTTTGGAGGATTTGATAAACCAAGAGAAAGCCTGATTAAAATCTATGTTTATCATAATTTTTTAGTATTAAGTGAAATTCTATTTTGGCTTAGTAAATAAAACTCATAAAGTATCAATTTTTTCTAGTAATACATTAAAATCTTTACCGTATAATTTTTTTAGCTCTGTAAAGTATTTGGAGTATAACAGCCACTTTTCATCAGGCCCTCCACCCCCTGGCGCTGGCTCCCCAGAGGTGCCTGTGGTGGTCCGGGCGTGGGTTGGAAAAGAATTTCCAGACATGAGACAGAATGAGAGGGAAATAAAGTTTATTGGAGTGGGAGATGCTGTTAGCGGACCAGCTCAAGGGAGAACCAACGTTGAGTGGGGATCCTTAGTCCACTTTTATACCCAGGGTACAAGGAGTGGGAATGGGGTCTTGCGGGTCATTTGCTGATTGGATGAGGCACCAATACTGGGTTGGGGGAAGAGTAAGGCAGATACCTCCTCCCTGTGGGGTAGGAGGGGAGACAGGTTGTACTGTTCCATTAATAGTTACCTTATGGGGGAGGGAAGGGCGATAAGGGTCTGGTTTTCCTGTTCCTGCTTTCCAAGACCCTCCTTGGTTTTATCTGCCCTTTCCTCCATGGGTCACCATAGTGCCCACAGTCACCTTTCTTAGAGAACGTGTGTATAGTGGCCAGGAATTGACTCTGGAGCAGACTATGTGGGTGGGAGTCCCCATCTTGCTCTTACCAGCTGTGTTACCTTTGGCAAGTTACTGAGCCTCACTGTTCCTCAGTTCCCTCGTCTGTAAAAAGTAGGAATAATATTCCCATCTCATAGGATTGGTGTGAGGATTGAATGGGTTAAGCTATGTAAAGAACTTAGAAATAGTGTTTGACATACAGTCAGAGTGCTGTGTGAATTTCAGTCATCATCCTCACCATGAATACTACCACCTTCAGCACCATGATCATTCGATTGATTTGTCCTTCCAGATCACTTTCTATCCAGTTATAGTCCTCTTTATGAGTATATGGGCTTCCCCGGTGGCTCAGTGGTAAAGAACCTGTCTGCAATGCAGAAGACGCAGGTTCAATCCCTGCGTCAGGAAGATCCCCTGGAGAAGGAAATGGCAACCCACTGCAGTCAGTATTCTTGCCTGAAAAATCTCATGGACCGAGGAGCCTGGAGGGCTACAGTCCATGGGGTCGCAAAAGAGTCAGACACGACTTAGCAACTGAGCACACACCCACGCATTGTGAGCATATAGAAGTTATAAGTACCCTTACTTACACGGCTAAATGCAGAATGGCTAAGTGTCAAAGTTAAAATTTGGCCAAAGCGGAATATTACTGTAAACTTCTCTAGATATAAGAATGAAGCATTTAGCTTTTTAATTTTTAATGAAATCTTATTAAAATTTTAAACATTATTTTATTATTGAATACTTTAGTAGTAAAATTTAAAAATTTTTACATTATAGTAGAAGAAATTTGACATTATACTTAACACATTTAGCTATAGGTTGTCCCTGATGTTGGCTGTAAGAGGTTGACTTTCATTTGACTTTAGAAAGGAACAAACATTTTCTTGGTAATGCTGTTCTCTTTTCTTCATGCTGTCTATATTTTTTATTATATGTTAGCAGAAGATAATTCATTATTGAGACTGTTGTGTATGATTCTGGAATCTTTCCTAGTGAAACTTTGAAGTGGCAACGATGGCCTCTTGTTTTTAATTCATCCTCAAAAAATGTGAAACTTTCCCAAGTATGACATTTAAAAAGAATTAATGACCTAAATGGAATTGAATTAATAAAAACCAAGTGCTGTCTTTCAGTGAGGGTAATGATTTCAAAAATTATGAAATACCAAGGCTTGATAAATTGGATAGATATTAAAAAGATTGAAATAAGGATTTTCCTAGTGGTCCAGTGGGTAAGAATATGCCTGCCAATGCAGGGAACCCAGGTTCCATCCCTGGTCCTGGAAGATCCCACGTGCCATAGAGCAACTAAACCTGTACCCCACGACTACTGTAGCCCACGTGCATAGAACCTGCGCTCCACCAGAGAAGACACCGAAATGAGAAGCCTGCACACTGCAGCGAGACAGCAGCCGCTGCCCATGGCAACCGGAGAAAGCCCATGCGCAGCAACCAAGATCCAGTGCGGCCAGAAATAAAATTTAAAAAATAAATAAAAAAGGACAAAGTAAGTATTTACTGTCATGAAAGGAGGTCCCCGATGCATTAAGTGATAGAGCAAGTTTTAGAACAAATACTAAAAAACTGTATCTGCTCCTCCATCTAGCCACCTTTTTGCTTGTTTATCTGTAGAAAGTATCTGGAAGGGCCCCAACATAACTCATAAGGGTCATTAATCTTGAGGCGTGGAAGTGTGAGGTGGGGGAGGACTTACTTTTCACCAATTACTCTTCTCTATTGTCTGCATTTTTAACAATAAGTATTCATTTCTTTTATAATTACTATTATAAAGGAAAACATGAAAAGATTTTAAAGAGAAAGCAGTTTGTCTCCCCCAAAGTCTTCATTTCCATGAATTGAACCATGACGTTATGTATTTTACATAAATATGTCTGGACCTTTTTTTTAAAATTTTTAGTCAGTGCTGTTGTTTGGGGTTGATGAAATCCATCAAGTTACTGCTTGTTTTTGTAAGGAAAGACTTCCTTTTCTTTATCATTATAATGATTTCATTTTTCAGAGTAACTGAGGGAGTCCTGTGTATTTTAACACTGATGGGAACCTCATCTAGTAGCTTCCTCTAAAACTTTTAAGCTCTCACCTGGTAACCAGGAAGTCAGCTCCACTTGTGTAGACTGATTTGTTCTTTTTATTTTTGAACTGATATATTCTTAATTTTACATTAACCTTTGTTTGAACTCTTTAGTCTTTGGCTAAATTAATTTTTTTCACCTCCTTGCAGCTATTTTAATCAGAAAGTGTTAAAAGAGTAGAAGATGATTTGATTTTATGGTACCTTCACTCCCTCAGTGAAGAAAGCCTTATCATAGTTTTCAAATTTGAAAAGTAATGCACAAACACTAGACAATTCAAATTTTAAAAATGTAAAGATTTCTGATGACCCCAAACCCTACACCCAGAGATAGCATCACTAACATTTGATTAATATCTTTCTACTTAACTCTTTGTGCTTCTTCCCTCTCACATACCTAGAGTCACATACACACATTTATTGTGTACTGTATATATATTAATACAAAGAGTTCATACACATGTTTTCTTTCATAATCTCTTTTTACTTTGCTAATATGTCATGGACATCTTTTCACATCAATATAGATCCACATCCTTATTTTTAACAACTATATGGAATTTAATTGCAGGCATATTTAACTAGTTTTCTATTGAGTGTGTTACATTGTTTCTAGTTCTTTGCTACTATAAATAGTGCTGTAATGAAGATTGTTTTATGTACATCTGTCTGAGGATAATTTACTAGAAGTAGAATTATCAAATCACAGAATATTCCTGTTCAAAATTTTGATAGCTAAGAAAGCCTTGACTGTGTGGATCACAACAAACTGTGGAAAATCCTTAAAGAGATGGGAATGCCAGACCACCTTACCTGCCTCCTGAGAAATCTGTATGCAGGTCAAGAAGCAACAGTTAGAACTGGACATGGACCAATGGGCTGGTTCAAAATTGGGAAAGGAGTCAAGACTGTATATTGTCACCCTGCTTATTTAACTTACATGCAGAGTACATCATGCGAAATGCCGGGCTGGATGAATCACAAGCTGGAATCAAGGTTCCTGGGAGAAATATCAACAATCTCAGATATGCAGATGATACCACCCTAATGGCAGAAAGTGAAGAGGAACTAAAGAGCCTGTTGATGAAGGTGAAAGAGGAAAGAAGGAGTGACGTGCTTTATTTTCGTGAGCTCCAAAATCACTGTGGATGGTGGGTGCAGCCATGAAATTAAAAGATTGCTTGCTCCTTGGAAGATTGTGGAAAGCTAGACATTCCTAGGTTTATGACAAACCTATACAGCATATTGAAAAGCAGAGACCTCATTTTGCTGACAAAGATCCGTACTGTCAAACCTATGGTTTTTCCAGTAGTCATGTACAAGATGTGAGAGCTGGACCATAAAGAAGGCTGAGTGCTGAAGAATTGATGCTTTCAAACTGTGGTGCTGGAGAAGACTCTTGAGAGTTCCTTGGACAGCAAGGAGGTCAAACCAGTCAATCCTAAAGGAAATCAACCCTGAATATTCATTGGCAACACTGATGCTGAAGGTGAAGCTCCAATACTTAGGCCACCTGATGGGAAGAGCTGACTCACTGGGAAAGACCCTGATGCTGGGAAAGATTGAAGGCAGGAGGAGAAGAGAGTGACAGAGGATGAGATGGTTGGATATGATCACTGACTTAATGCACATGAGTTTGAGCAAACTCTGGGAGATGGTGAAGGACAGGGAAGCCTGGCGTGCTGCAGTTCATAGGGTCACGAAGAGTTGGACATGACTTGGAAACTGAACAACAACATTTGTTGACAAACCTTTTCGTAAAGATTGAACAAATGTTCATCTCAGAAATTTTACATTAGACTGTAATTCTTCATGTTCCACAATACTAGATGTAGTTATTTTTAAAGATCTTCATAATCTGATAGAGTTTAAAATTACACATACTTTTTGTTTTCTTTGATGTAGTGAGATTGAGTATCTGTCATTTGTTTATTGGCCATTTATATGCCTCTTTTGGATTTTATTATTCTTGTCCTTTGCCCATTTTTGACACATGGTTTTATTTATTTCTTGTAGAAACAATTTGCTGTCTAATGGGCTTAGCCTGAAATCACTCTCTGAGACTGTTTTGAACTTTCCTCTTGACAAGTCCCTTCTGCTTCGCTGCAGCAACTGGGATGCTGAGAATCTTACTGAGGACCAGGTACTTCTCTTATCAGAGTAGCTTGTAAAGTATAATTATTTAAAACATTCTAAGCCTCAAAATGATATATGTTGGGTGGAAATGTCTTAAAATAGCCTCATTGATGATACTCAAGATAAATGCTCTATAATAATGAACATGCCACTTGAATAAAAGGGTAAAACTCCCCGTTCTATTTTTTTTTTTTTGAGCATTTACTATATGCCAGGGATTTCAGAAAAATGTAAAATTCTTATCATGAATAAAAATTCTAATTTAAAAAAACATTGTTATAAGACTTATTATAAGGAACAGCAAGGAGTTCTCCTGCCTTCCTCCCCCATTCTTAATTGCTCTTCTTTCTTTTCAGAGGCATCCGATTTCATTTTTTTCTGGTAATTATCATTATATTTTAAAATTGCACTCATATATTACTCTTTCCTTTTCTACTTATTATCTTTTGACTTCTTGCTATGGAAAACGTGATTTAGTGCTCTTGCAATTCCTGTATCCCCAGATACTTATTCCCTCCCCCATGCTCCCAAAAGAGGTAAATCGTCATTTTTTATCAGATTAATATTTACTTATATTGATACTATTTATAACTGCTCCACATGGTCAATTGCAGTTTTTTTCTTATACAACTTTTTGTTTTCCCAGGAGTAGTAATTTATATTTTTGTTTGCTTAGTTTTCTGTATACCTGTTAACTGTGTCTACTCCAGACTCTCCTCTCTGCTGGTTCAGACACAGTCAGATAACTTAGTCATTTGAGTTTCCCTTGGAGCTTGCCCTCGTGGAGCCCTTGGTCTTCCTGTTTCTTTCAGGACTAGTTGTTCTGTAGCCCTGATTGCCAGACTCTCATCCTGTTTGTGTTTACCCTCAGAGTGGGAATTCTCTTCACCTCTCTTCTATAGCAGGTCCTCTGTTTCACAAACCTTGTGTCTTTTCACTTTCTTGTTCTGGTGGAGTACATTCAAACTAGCTTCCTGAGAAAAGGAGCATGGGAAGTTAATTTATGACACCTTGCATGTCCGAAAAGATACTTGTTTCCTCTGATACTGATACTTTGGCTGAGGATAGCATTTCAGGGTGGAAATCATTTTCCTTCAGAACTTTGAAGGCAGTGCTCTTTGTAGCTTCCAGTGTTGATGTTGAGTATGTGACTTGTTTTTCTTTCTGGAAAAATCTTTATTCTTAGTTTTTAAATTCATGATGATATACATTAGTGTGAGCCATTTCCCCTACAGTCTTAGAATTCAGTGGACTCTTTTGATCTGGAAGCTCATGTCTTTCAGTTCAGGGAATTAGTCTCAAAATATTTCTTAGAAAATTTCCCTTTTGTTTCTAGAATTCATATGTGTTTTGGATCCCTTGAATTAATCTTCTCATTTTCTTAGTAAAATGTTTTCTCTTTGATTTTCCATCTCTGTATTTTTTGTTTTATCTTCTGAAAAATTTCAAGTTTATCTTTCAATATTTCACTCAAATTTTTAATTATTCCTATTATAAGAGCTCCTGGTCTTCTCTGAATATTCACCTTTAAAATAACTTTTCATTTTTGTTTAATAGCATCTTCTCTTATCTTAGAGTATTGAAGGTTCTGAAGTTTTTTTTTCCTTCCTGCATTGCCTCCTTTTCCTCTGAATTCCTAATTTTAAATGTTTGATTTGGTCTTTGTCTTTCATGTTAAGGATTTTTTTTTCAAATGTTAGATCCTTGGCTATCCATTTCTATTTATGAAGGAGACATTAAAGCGCCAGTTAAATCTACTGGCCTATTGAATCAAGCACCAATTGATGAATGAGTAATAAAATACAGTATAGCCATACAATAGAATATTATTCAACAGTTAAAAGGATACATACTACAACATGGATGAGTCTTGAAAACATTATGCTAAAAAGTGAAAGAAGCCAGTTACATCAGATCACATATTGTATGAGTCCACTTATATGAAGTGTTCAGAACAGGCAGATCTGTAGACAGAAAACAAATCAGTGGTTGCTTAGGCCTGGAAGAAGTAGGGGATGACTGCTAAAGGATATAAGATTTTTTATTGGGCTGACGAGAATGTTCTAAAATTGATGTGGTGAAGGTTGCACAATTCTGTAAATGTATGAAAAATCCTGAGTCATGCAGCATCTCTAAAAGACATATTTGGGACAATTGGAGACATTAGAATGCAACCATGTATTATTGTGTTTTGTCAGTGTAAAGTTCTTGGGTGTGACAGTGGTGTGATTATGTAGGAGAGTGTCTTTGTTCTTAGAAGATATGCACTAAAATATTTAAGGATGAAGTATCATAGTAGCTGCAACTTAATACTGAAATGTGTTCAGCCAAAAGAGAAGTATTTGGTGTATGTATTATAAAGAGATAAAGCACATGTTGACAGTTGTGAATGTTAGTTGTCATTCTTTTCTGTAGGTTTGAAACTTTCAAAATAAAACATTGGGGAGAAAAGGTTAATTGCCACCAAATTTGAAACCAGATTTGTGATCCATATTATTATGATAATTCAGAATTTCTAAAGACTCTTATTCATTCTTCATTTAAAATATTTATTGTTTTTTAAATTATAAACATAATGCTTAATGAGATTTTGTAAAATATAGAAAATAATATTTAAATTTGACATTTAAAGAAATGAAGTGAGAGCATAGCACATATGGCCAAATTTTTTTGACTAGTGGGTTTTATTATCAGTAACTATAAATTATAATCAAATGTCAATAACTGTAAGTCTTTTCTCTCAGGCCACTCAGTTTCTCCAGACATAAATCTTCTAGTCTTCTACCCAAGAAGTATAAGCCCCACAGCCTATATTCTGGTAGCTGAGTAGAAGAGGTGGTGCTGGTTATCTCATTATTTAATATGTAGATTTTCCCATAATCCCTGTTTTTCCTGATGACACTTTGCCCCCAACCTCTGCCATCCCTGATATTACTAGGTCCAGATCCTCTGTGATTTAACCACTATATAGCTTACACTTGTCAAAACCCAAACTCTGCACACTGAGTAAAACAAAGCAGAAGTATGAGTTTATTGCAGTCACTCATGTGAGCTGGTACTTCATTTTTTTTAATTGCTAAATAATACTTCATTGTATGGATAGACCACATTTTGTTTATTTGTTCATCATTTGGTAGAGCTTTGAGTTGCTTTCGTTTTTTTTGGCTGTTATGAATAATACCACTCTGAATATCTGTGTGTAAGTTTTTATGTGGACATACATCTTCAGTTCTCTAGGGCAAATAACCTACAATGGAATTACTGAGTCATATGGTAACTTTATGTTTAACTGTTTTGAGGAATTGCCAAACTATTTTCCAAAGTAACTGTATCATTTTATAGTCCCACCAGTAATATATGAGGGTTCCAATTTTCCATATTGTGTTTGATATGGTTTTAATTTATATTTCCCTAGTGACCAATGATGCTGAGCATCTTTCATGTGCTTATTGTCTAATGTTATATCTTTGGAGAAATGTCTGTTCAGATCCTTTGCTCACATTTTAATTGTGTTGTTTGTTTAATTGTGTTGAGTTTTAACAGACGTGTGTGTATGCATACATATTCTTTACATATTCTGGATGCTAATCTCTTATCAGATATATAATTTATAAATATTTTCTCCCTTTTTTCCTTTCACTTACTTGATGGGATCATCTGAAGCATGAAGGTTTTAATTTTTTTTTGAAAGTTTTAATTTTTATTGAGGTCCAGTTATCTATATTTTCTTTTATTCCTGATGCGTTTGCTGTCATATCTAAGAAATTGTTGCCTGGCCTAAGGTCATGAACACTTACTCTTATGTTTTCTTCAAAGAATCATATGTTTTAGCTCTTACACCTAGGTTCTCCTAATTCATTTTGAGTTAATTTTTGTGTGTGTGGTCTGAAGTGGGAGTCCAAATTTACCCTTTTGCATGTGAACACCCAGCTATTCCAGCACCATTTGTTGAAAGTGCCTTGGATTCCTTATCATTTGAAAACAACTTGTTAAAAAAGTATTCTTCACTCTTCACATTCAAACACCTTCTTTTCCTGTGGGAGACTGCTTGCTGACAGAGATGTAGATGGTTGACTCTACGTGAAAAATTTTATCTAAACTTCTTTTTCTAGTATTCTGTTCTTTTTTTTGTTATTCTAAAAGTACACACAGAAAAAAGATCCATACGAATAGTGTTATTTACCAGGCTTGATTATTAAAGGTGAATTAAAAGAATTTTCATTAAAGTCCTTACATGCTTTGTTAGGAAGAGCTAGTAATTAAATTAATAGTTTTGACTACTTTTATTTATGACCAGCTTGCCTGTGCCTAGTTGCTTAGAGAATGACTTACTATTGTTAAATACATAAATTCCAGAAATGGACCTTTGTGACTTTTGAGCTGAGGTCCATGTTTGAAGCTGTTTTTCTTGTTTTACATATCATTAATATGTACAGCAGTTTGTCTCTGATCAGTAGTCACACAGACCCAGTTGTTCTGATGACCATTTCCGAAGTGAAATTCATGTATTAGGTGTCAGGCCTGTGATAAGTACCCTACTCCAAGCTGGAGGAAAATCTGTCCAGCAGGTTTGGTAGCAGATAGAAGGAATTTCTAGCATGTAGAATAAGTCATTATTTTATCTATGTTACATGAGGATTCATTATACCATTTGATTTATTTTTGTCTAGTTTGAATTTTTTTGTAATGAAAACGTTTTAAGCAGTAGATGGTGCCTGGGTTACTGTGCATCTTGAATTAGAACCTGGAAGTGGTCTCTTGTCTTTGTGACTGACTTTGAACTTGCTCCCTCTGGTCCGCCTTCTGGATTCTACTGATCTCTGACTTTTCTCTTCAGGTAATTTATGCTGCCAGGGATGCCCAGATTTCAGTGGCTCTCTTTCTCCATCTTCTTGGATACCCTTTCTCTAGGAATTCGACTCTAGAAGAAAATGATGACCACATTGTCTGGAGAAAAATCTTAGAGAAATGTCAGGATGTGGTAGATATCCCATTCCGAAGCAAAGGGCTTAGCCGATCAGGAGAAGAGGTTAATGGGGAAGCAACAGAATCTCAGCAGAAAATAAGAAATAAGAAGTCGAAAGCTGATGGAACGATGCCAGGCAACCACCAAGGGAGAGACCCCAGAAAACATAAAAGAAAGCCCCTGGGAGTGGGCTATTCTGCCAGGTAACTGAGTTGTTCTGTGTCTAGTAGATTCAGTGGCCCAGCCTGCAGCAAAAAGCATGATGCTTTACCTTGAGTCTGGGAAGAAGGCTTGTGTGGTAAGGTGGCAGGGGCTCTCCAAGGATTTTTATTTTTCCTTTCCTTCAAGGACATTTGGAGCTAGCCTTTATTTGTGTACTTTTCCCTTTTACCCTTCTACTGTTTTATTTTTGACCAGTGGAAGTGGAAATGAGGAGTGCTTAACCTAGCTTTGTCCCTGACCTTGATACAACCTTAGATATGCACTTCTATTATAAACGAGAAAAGTGACAGTATAGTCACTCAGTTGTGAGCCCTGTGGACTGCAGCCCGCCAGGCTCCTCTGTCCTTGGGGTTCTCCAGGCAAGAGTACTGGACTGGGTTGCCATGCCCTTCTCCAGGGGATCTTCCCTACCCAGGGATTGAACCTGGATCTTCTGCATTGCAGGCAGATTCTTTACCATCTGAGCCACCAAGGGGTATAATTATTATTCTTTGCTTGCTTCAGGAGAGCTGTGAAAGTAACATGAAGTGCCTCATACTTTTCAGGAGAAATGCATCATTCGATTTCTTACTCATTTGGTATTTGATTATTTAGAATGGTATCCAGGTCCTAAACTTACATTATCCTCTAGTCAATGAGAATTTTCCTGTACAGCTTATGTCTCTATTGCAGAATGATGACTAATAAATACTTTGGAGTGGAAGTTTGGTTCCTCTAAGCAAAATGCCTTTAGGAATTGGATGATTAAATTGAAGCAAGCATTGCGTATGAGCCAGAAATAAATCCACATGGCACTCATTACTTGAGCTTGAATTTTAATTGACTTGGTTTAATCCAGTGATTACAGGGAAGTTTCCTCATGTCCTGTTCCTGCTTGCTTTCATGGTAGAACCATGTAAACACTACCCAACTTACTCCCTAATTTCCCAATCTATAAATATAAAAACTAATGGTATAAACTAGTTCATTTTAATTTCTCTTTCCTAGCCCATTGTAGATGGAGGAGTAAACATGGTTTCTCACCATGTTCCCCCCGCCCACCCCCCCCATAAATGTAACGTATGACCCTAGTGTTGAATGGCTTGGGTCACTCGGAATATAGGAAGGTAATTGATACCCTGATCAATAGTTTGCTCCAAAGTTTAGACTTCTCTCTCCCTCCCCACAGAAAATCACCTCTCTACGATAACTGCTTCCTCCACGCTCCTGACGGACAGCCCCTCTGCACTTGTGATCGAAGAAAAGCTCAGTGGTACCTGGACAAAGGCATCGGAGGTTTGAGATTCAGCCGTCATACTTGATTTCTAATTAGGTGCATGCAGGCACTGACTGGAGTGGGCCTGAGATCAGGGAGAGGGTTGCGATGTGTAGAAGGCAGAGAGCCCTAGAGACACGCGGGATGGAGCTGTTCAAAGCCCAGAAATAGTGATCTCTGCCCAGGACACAGCAGCGAACAACTGAGGTGGTGCTTCTTCCCTGGGGGAGAGGTGGGCAGACGGTCATGCGCTAACGCTGCTTCTTTCCTCTAAGAGCTGGTGAGTGAAGAGCCTTTTGTGGTCAAGCTGCAGTTTGAACCTGCGGGCAGACCCGAATCCCCGGGAGACTACTACTTGATGGTTAAAGAGAACCTGTGTGTAGTGTGTGGCAAGAAAGACTCTTACATTCGGTGAGTGTCCAGCAGGGTGGGGCTGCCCTCTTGTCTGCCTCTGATGGAAGGTGCCCTTCAAGCCACACGCAGAGCCCTCGGCGGGCTTGGTTGAGTCTGCCCACTTTGGCTTGGAGACTTGTCCCCAGGGGGCATCCCAGTGTCCCCGAGAGCTTCGACACTCTGCCTGGCCTTGCTGTAGTGGTGCCTGCCACTACCCCCCTCTCCCCCCCGCCGCCCCCCACCAGAGCCAGTTTTTAGTTTCCAGAATGAAACACTCTTTGTCAAAACAGTTTGCCATGAAGAGAGTTGTTCCCTTTTGCTCATGAAGGAACGGAGACCAGTTCCCTCCGAAGCTGCCTTTCTGTGTCCTTGTGATCCTCCCTTGAGTGGCTTACAGGCTTTGCGACCCTGGGTACATGAGTATCCGGGTGACCTGAAGGCACACTCTGGAATAGTCTGAGATTATTCTGCGTCAGGGTCCCCAGGCAATGAGGGTGACGTTGCCACTGGGTCCGGATACCCAGACACCTGGGCTTTCTCCCTGGCTGCTGAGGTGTAGTAACACTTCGCGCCTCTCTCTCCTTGCAAAGTAAGACAAATAGTAGCGGTGGCCAGGAGTTTTCCCGAGAACTCAGTTCTCCTTAGAAGACAATGACGGACTTCCATGAACCAGGGATGTAATTTGAGAGTAAGGGACTCTTCAGATGAAAGAAACGGGCTCTTACAGATCACCAGGCTTCCAAAATTTCAGGAAGAGTTGTTACCTGCTGCATGCTTTGAGAGGGTTATTTTCTAGATGTTAAAGGCCATTAGAATTTCTTTTCATTTCTCAGATCCTTCTCCTTTGGGGAGCACAGACTTCCCAAAGGTGGTTATCAGCCTCTTCCTACCCCTGGCTTGCCAGAGGAGTCAGAGAGCTGGTGGTCTGCGCTCACTTCAAGGAGAGGGGGACCCAAGGGCCATAGGCAGGTGGGCGGAGATTGGAATAGGTGGTCGGGCCTTTATGTCGTCTCTGTTGGGTTGTGTGGCCTCAGCTCCTCAGTCGTGTTTAGACCCAGATCAGAATCCCAGTAGCCCACCTGCCGACTCCGTGTTCGGTCTGTGTCGTCTGCTAATGCGCGCTGCCATGTGCCCGGCGCCCGTAGGAAGAACGTGATCCCACACGAGTACCGGAAGCACTTCCCCATCGAGATGAAGGACCACAACTCCCACGATGTGCTGCTGCTCTGCACCTCCTGCCACGCCATCTCCAACTACTACGACAACCACCTGAAGCAGCAGCTGGCCAGGGAGTTCCAGGCCCCCATTGGCTCCGAGGAGGGCTTGCGCCTCTTGGAGGATCCTGAGCGCCGGCTGGTGCGCTCGGGCGCCAGGGCCCTGCTCAACGCCGAGAGCCTGCCTGCGCAGCGGAAGGAGGAGCTGCTGCAGGCGCTGCGGGAGTTTTATCGCACAGACGCGGTCACGGAGGAGATGCTTCAGGAGGCAGCCAGCCTGGAGACCAGGTATGATCTGCGGTCCTGCTCAGAGGGGAGTGAGGACTGGTCCAGTGTCTTTACACCGGCTGCTCGGTTTGCGTGCCTGTAGGGCAGAAGCAGGTGCCCTGCGGCAGCCTCGGGCTCACCCCCCTGAGCCTGTGTGTCTCAAGATATCCAGGCAGGTGGGACAGAGCAGTCGATTTGCTGATTAACTTTCTAGAGGAGACCTGCCTTCTGTCCTTGACCTTTTAAGATCATATCCCTATGTCCAGCCATTTTCATAATGAGCAGGAGAGTTCAAAGGCACCAGTGTTGAACCTTATGCATTCTCTGCAGAAGGAAATCTTCTGGTCAGCACGTAAGAGGAAAATCAGAGTCAAGAAATATCCCTCCAGTCTCTGGAGTTGCCTGTGAAGTACAGTGTGTGTGGTTTTGCATCTTTTCCCTTATCCAGGTCGGTGGGAATGGAGACACAGGGGTTCATGTTTCCTGTCTCTGACCTGCCCTCCAGGGTATTGGCCTGCTGAATGGCATGTTGGCCAGGATTGTTGCTAGTATTTAAATTACTTTGTACGTTTTTGCTTCCTTGCTTGCTTTCTCTCTCTTTCCCCAGGAGTACATAGTTGAATTCACTGAATTCATATCATTTAATTCAGTGTCCCTAGATGAGAGGCACTTTATAGTCCTGAGAAATGAATGGCAACATGGCCCAGATGCTAAAAACTCTGGGCTGCCTATTACAGTTTGCTTCCCAATTTGTCAGTTCTTTCCAGGGACTGAAGTAACTGAACTGGTAAGTTCACAAATCCTGATAATGCTGCTGGTTGCCTATAGTGTTTTATTATTTAAAAAAAAATACTCCCATAAACTTAATTATAGCAACAAATATTTATTGAACAAATTTTTATAGATATGCTAATTTAGCCCAGTTAATAAACTTTATATATATTGCCTTAATTGTTTCTTATAACAATTCTTTCCCTCCTGTGAGGTAGGATTTAGATTTCTTATTGGTTTCTGCTAACATCATATCCTGTATTTTTTTAAAATCTTTCAAGACTTAAAAATTATTCCTAAGACTATTTTCCAAACTCTATTTTAGATACATCAAAATTAAGGTTAAGGTTATATTACAAATTAAGGAGTCTAGCTTCTTTAACCAGTTCCCAGGTGTATTTCCTAAAACAGCTACATTTCCCTTTTCGGTGACCAACCTATCTAGTAAATTCATCTTGCTGCCTTGGATGGGAGGGTGCTGGGCTTGGATGTCTAAGACCAAGAAGAACATCTGTTTGGGGAAAGTTAGGCAAGTTAGTGGTATGCTTGTGAGTTAGATAAGAACATACCCCACAAATACCCGGAAGGCACGAACAGGCTAGACGGGGAGGATTGAGAGTGGGGTGTGGATGCAGGGAGAGGAACTGAATCCCAGACAGGGAAATCCTTTCATTCACAGGAGCTGAAGGCACTGCTCACAAGGCATCTGAGTGAGAAAGGAGGCAGGGCTTCATCTTCTCATTAAATGGCACTAGCTGTGCAACTGAGCAACACGGTAGCATTTCACTGTGACCAAAACACGTCTTGTGGATGTGGTTTGGCATTTCTTCGTATGATAAGGAAGGCACCAAAGAAATATGCCACCTTTATTTTACATTCAAGTATTACACTGTGATGAAAGCCTGGAACACGTGGGCTGATTGAAGAGTTCATATAAAGACTAAGTATTGATCAGAATGGGTAACTTAAAAGAAGGGCGAGGGACTTCCCTGGTGGTCTAGTGGCTAAGACTCTCTGCTCCCAATGCAAGCGGGCCCAGGTTCTTTACCTGGATCTGATGGAACTAGATCTGAACCCGAGTCTCCTGCCCTGCAGGTGGATTCTTCACCATCTAAGCCACCAGGGAAGCCCTAGATCCCACAGGCCGCAGTTAAAGATTGCGCATACTGCAACGAAGATTGATGATCCCCCGAGCTGCAACTAAGACTCAGCGCTGTCAAATAAATAAATATTAAAAAAAAAAAAAACAGAAGGGTAAGCCAGTAGGAAGGAAACCCTTCAGTAAATGAAAGACCTCCATTCTCCACCCATCATCTGCCAGGCAGTGGGGCCCCCGCTAGTAGGGTTGAGCGTTATGCAGTGGTCTTCCCATAAGTATAGCTCAGAATCCCCAGATGCCTTCTGTGGAATTGATTGTGCTTGACCGAACTCTTTTTAAAAAGTCAGATATGGGAAAGAAGATGTTTTCAAAAGCATCAAAGTAACCGACCCTTCAGGAGTGGGGCAGCCTCTCTGAGCACCCCCATGGAAGCCCCTCGGCCCACAGCATCTGGAGCCTTGAGATGCTGTCCTGTGCTTATTTTCCTCAGACCCTTGTCCTTCGTATCCCAACAGGATTTCCAATGAAAACTACGTTCCTCACGGGCTGAAGGTGGTGCAGCGCCACACCCAGGGCGGGCTGCGCTCCCTCATGCAGCTGGAGAGCCGCTGGCGGCAGCACTTCCTGGACTCCATGCAGCCCAGGCACCTACCCCAGCAGTGGTCGGTGGACCACAACCATCAGAAGCTGCTCCGGAAATACGGGGAGGACCTTCCCATCAAGCTGTCGTGATCGCCGCCTCCCTTCCGGGTTAGGACGCCTGGGAAGCTGGAGCCGGGGGGGTTGCCAAGTCACCTCTTCCTGTTTTAATGTCATTGTCAAATTCTGGTAACACAACTCACAATACTAACCCGTCATGATCATCCCAGGATGCTTCTGGTGGAGCCAGGCTGTTGCTTTCAGGGGTGCTCCCAGTTTTGAATTTCAGCTGGGCAGAGTGAGAAGTCTCTATTCTGCCCTTTTCTGGACCAATGGGAACCTTGGCCTTCATATTTTTCCCCTCTCCCTATAATGCTTTCCCTGTCCAGGCGACACATGAAGGATCCTTCCTGAAGTGTCTTGTCAGGACTCTCGAGTTTTTAATATTTTTTCTTCCCTGTCCAGTGTGTTGGTTTATCTCAAACAGGAGCTGTCAAGCATTTCAATCCCATCCGGTTAGGAGGGAGAAAAAAATAAAATGTTCTTCTAGAGGTTGGAGAGGTGAAAGGGGTTGGATTCATATTCCCAGTTCAGCCTCATGATTAGAAGTTTTTTGGCTTGATGCTGTGCTGGAGCTCACCTGGGCAGGGATCCGGCCCACCTGGGCTGGTTTATTACATGTCCTTGCAAATGCTCCCCTTTATACGTTCAGGACCAAGGCGGCACCTTCCTGCCATTTGTTTTCACCCGAACACTGGAGGGGATTCTCTTCTGGAAAGAGGGCTGGGTGGGCCACAGAGAAGCACAAGAACCGTCTCCCTAGAGAATTTGGATGAGTTGGTCAGCTTTCGGCTGTTTGTTGCAGTCCTCCTGCCCAGAACGTCAAGGTTTTTAGTGTAATCCCTTTTCTGAGAGGAAGATTATCTTTTCTCAGAATCAGTATCTGGTCCCTTCAGTGTTCTGTGTTCTATCAGATTTGCAATACTGACCTCTTTTAGCTCTTTAATTCTCTCCCAGAGCCATTTGGTCAGGTTGCAGTGAGAGGATTTCTCCGTCTCCATCTTGCCTGGGACACTGGGATTAATTAATCCATTTCGATGTTCAAAACGGTGGTGTTTCTCATCTTTCTAAACGCGAGGCCACCACTTTGAGCGTGAAATCAACTCATTAGTGATTAGTATCTTTTTTAAAGTATAAGGAAAACTTTCTTACAAGATTTTAACAAGCTTTAAAAAAATTTTTTTATGGCCAGAATTCAACAGGAACTCTGTTTTGGAAGTGTGCCTGAGTCGGTGATGGCTGCTCTAACATTGATAAGTTAAACAACTTCTAAGCACAAAGTTCATGAATTGTAAATGTAAAACTTTTTGCTTTATAACTTTGTAAAATCAGTGGATACTCTTGGGGAAGGAGATCTAGGCAGCCCTTGGTGTGTGCTAAGTCGCTTTAGTCGTGTCCGACTCTCTGCGACCCTATGGATTGTAGCCTGCCAGGCACCTCTGACCTTGGGATTCTCCAAGCAAGAATGCTAGAGTGAGTTGCCATTCTTTTCTCCAGGAGATCTTCCCCACCCAGGGATCGAACCCACATCTCTTATGTCTAACCTGCATTGGCAGGCAGGTTCTTTACCACTAGCCCCACGTGGGAAGCACGTGGTATGTATGCACAGATTCCCCTTCCACACCCCCTGCCGCACCCCGCCCCGCCCCGCCCCACCCCACCCCGCCTCCCACCCCCGCCCCTAGCTTTGACCCCTGGACAGCAGCCCATCACACATGCACGTCTTGCATTTTTTCCTCTGTCCCTTCCCACTCGTCCTCAAATAGGTGTTTCTGGGGCCTAAATCAGAAAAAAAAAAAAAAAAAGCCTTGAAAACAAATAGTACCATCTGCTTTGGGGGCCGCGTGTTCGCACACCTGGCTGTATGGGGCTCTAACTGCTCTGGAGCCCGCGGCAGAGGACCAGGAAACGGATGGGCGGGCGTCGTAGTAGTCAGCCTTGCCACAAGGGGGCGCCTGTAGCTCTTGCTTTATATTCCTTCTTGAGAATAAGGGGCTTTTATACCCGGTTCTTGGCCATAACTCACGACTTATGTTTCAGACTGTGTATATCTGATTCTGAGTCATTTTGATAAGTTTTATAAGAAAAATCTCTTTCTTTTAAGAGAGTAGGGCTCTTCCTTTCTCTTTCACACTAAGATGTGAGAATCATGTCCTAAGAGGTCGTTTAAGGTGCTGTGGTTGCTGTGGGTAAAAGGAATGGGTTCTCCAGTAGGGCTCCCTGCAGAGCTTAATATCACAGAGCCAGCAGCCAAGATAGAAGAAAAATCCGGACTATGGCACACGCAATCTTGTCCTTTTTAGAACACGCGCTGTTTAGATTTGAATCTTTTCATTTTTTTCAATCAGCCTTGGACTTTAGCAGCCTGTCCCTGACTGACAATTGCTATCTCAAATGAGTTATTTTAGGGTAAGCGTATTTTAAAATAAGTTGGTTTTTTTTTTTCTGATATAAAAGTAACGCGTATGCTTGTTAGAGACGACTCTAAAGAAAGAATGAAAATCCATCATCCCTCTGGGTAGAACAAAACTAATCTCTGCAGTTATGTTTATGAATTTCCTTTCAGTATTTAAAAGTGCATATATTGTGTGTAGTATTTAAACAGACTTGAGAGTATATATATAGCTTGGTATCCTATTTTTCCTTCATTTAATATGGTATCATAAGTAATTTCTTACCTCTTTAAATATTTGAAAGTAGATTTCCAGTAGCTACCTTACTTTATTATCCATGCCCACACTGTTGAAATTTTTGGTTGCTTCGGATTGTTTGTTAATATCAATGATACATGTGATGAACTTTTTTTGTGTGTAAATCTTTGACTATAACTTTGCTAACTTACTTAGGTTAGAACCTTAGAAATTGGATTGCAAGGAGGGGGAGGCACGTTGCTGGAGGGAGTACAAACTGATACCCGTTTTTAGGAGTTTCTGTGATGGGAACGCTTGCCTTCGACCCTTTCCCTCGCGTCCTAGTGCATTTGCTGAGTTTCCTCCTCTGTGAGCAACAGTGAGCAGACAGCGTCACAGCAGAGACCTCTCTGATGTGCCTGGGCACTACAGTTGGCAGCCTCAGAGTCTTTTTTCTGCTTCCCTTCAGCTCCCATCCTTCCTTGCCTCATTCCTCCTTGCAGCAGTGATTTTTGGAAATACTGTTTGTTTTAAAAGAAAATTGTAAAAACAATTAATTAAAAATAAAAAATTTTATTTTAAAATAAGGGTTATGGCCTTTTTTTCCCCCCTGATAAACAAGCAATTACTGATTTGCCATCCTAAAGCGAACAAAGCATGATATTCAGGGATTTGTTTCCCTCTTAAGAGTGCAGCCATAAGTTACTTATTCTTATCCATGTCACAGACAGAGATCAGATGACAAAATGTGTTCTGTTGAAATAAAGCCATTTTAATCCCTCATTTTAGACTCTCAGGAGCCCAGCAGACAGAAAGAGCTTTTGTTCAGCTTCCTATTCTAATGTTTGGGGCCCTAACATTTGACTATAATTTAAATTTCAGTTACCTTACCTCTCTGAGTGTTTCATTCATTCATCTGTCTTTTTCTTTTAATTCATTATGTCTCATCCTCTGAGAGGTACCATAGTTTCTCCATTTACTAGTTTGCTAATTGTTATGTATTTTAAAAGGATTCTTCTTTCTGGTCTCGTCTTTTCTGTTCTTTACTTGGTCATTTTTAGAGTACCTCATCCCTCAGGAATGCAGTTGAGAATCAGTTCTTCTTGGATGAGATAAACTATAAGAGGGTGTAAGAATGATTCTTGTATTGCTTTTGTTTAGTCACTAAATCATGTCTGACATTCAAGCGACCCCATGGACTATAGCCGGGTCGCTGGTGGTAAAGAGCCTGCCTCCAATGCAGGAGACTTAAGAGATGTAGGTTCAGTCCCTTGGTTGGGAAGATCCCCTGGAGGAGGGCATGGCAACCCACTCCAGTATTCTTGCCAGGAGAATCCCATGGACAGAGGAATCTGGTGGGCCACGGTCCATAGATTTCCAAGGAATCGGACATGACTGAAGCAACTTAGCACGCATGCACTGACTGTAGCCTGCCAGGCTCCTCTGTCCATGGGATTTCCCAGGCAAGAATACTGGAATGTATTGCTATTTCCTCCTCCAGGAGATGTTCTCCACCAAGGGATCGAACCCACCTCTCCTGCACTGGCAGGCAGATTCTTCACCACTGAGCCACCTGGGAAGCCCCAATTCTCGTATAGTTGACTCTTGATTGAATAATATAAAATTTATACCTAATCCTCAAAAATACTTCTTTTGGAACTGAGTTATTCTTTTTAGGTGTTCCCCAAGTTGCCCCCTTATCCTGGAGCCAAATACCTTCCGTCTGTCCCCAGTCCTGGGGCAGTTTTGCATCAGATGATGGAGCTGGGCTGACATGCAGCCACATGATTGTTCCACTTGTTCAAAAGTACCTGTTCAACCCACTCTACCAGGGAGATGCCTTTGCCTGTGGCACCAAGGTCCTTACTTAACTAGCAACATGTTATTTGGGAAGGTGGGAAGTACATTAGGCCATTGTTTCCTCCTCACGCCTTGTCTGTGGCCAACTCTGGTTGTTGGCACCCCCCAGTCATTGTGGGTACTGCACCAAATGGGCAATCCCGTGGAGATAAGCAGGATCTGACTTCCTGTGCATGGGAAGAGGGAATGTAGGAAGCCCGAGTTCACACTTCCTGGGTGTTCCCTCCTCTAAGTCAGTGGTACTTGCTGCCTTAGAAGGTCACTGTCTGACTGAGTGGAGATAGTTCATCTCATATCCTCCAGACCAAATTCAAGGCATTTGTCCTCCTTGCAACTTCCTTATTTGCTTTTAATTCTTGAATTCTTCTCTCTTGCCTGATGGGTAGCCTGTTGCCTTTCTGCCAGCATAAGCTTCAAGAGCTGCTGAGTTTACAGTCAGCATTATTATCAACGGGATGTGTGAGTCCAGATATTCCTGAGTTGTAGAGGCTACTTACACTCTACGCCTGCTTCCCAAAGATCTCCCTTCTCAGGCTGCAACAT